TGCATTGTCTTGTGAATTATCAAACTCTCTGTCTGAGGTCAGAGTAGAGTGCCTTGGGGCACAGAAAGCATGGGCACAATGACTGATGTTCTCAGTGCCCTTATGTAAGAGTTATCAATTGCTGTGTAAGAGATTACCCCCAAATCTAGTGTGTTTCTCACATTTGGAACACTTTTTTACTCATTAGAAACTCCTTGAGAAGGATGGGGTAGGGTGACATGAGTCAGGGGCAGAAAAAGAAGAGAAAATTAAAATCCATTTCAGATGATCCCTTATCAGTGGCTCAGTGAAAAGCTTACATAAAGAGGAGCCTGGGCTTTTGGTTAAGGCGAGGCTGTAATAATTGCTCTGGATTCTTGTGATCCACAATTGAAAGAGATCTATTGCTTGGAGTAATCCCTTTGGTGATGGTAGTGATGGTCACAATCCATTTAACAAGTATGTATTGAACACCTACTACATGCCATCACTGACCTAGGCACATGGGATTGAAATGAACCAAAAAAAAAAAAAAATCCCTGCCCCACAGGCTTAAATTCTAGAAGAGGAAATGGAAGGAAATGATGCTAGCTAGCATCTCCCTTCCTGTCCAAAGCATTTCCTTCTCATGAGTTCTTTGTCATGAGGGGTTTAGTCTCTACCAGGTCCTCAGGTTCAGTGAGGGATTCCTAAAACTTTATTTCTCCCAAGGCTTGCAGATGGATATCTACTCAAATACTCATGTATTTCCTTACATGCTGGGAAATGGACTCTTGGTTGAGAGGTAGATGTCTCTCTATGTGTGTTTGGGGTGCGGGCTGTGATAGAGTACAGAGAGTTTAAAACAACCACATTTATTTTACAGCTTCTGTAGGTCAGGAATTCAGGCACAGCTAAGCTGCGTCCTCTGGCTCAACTTCTTTCATGAGGCTGCAGTCAAACTTTTGGCCAGGGCTACCCTCATTTCAAGGCTCAACTGGTGAAGGATTCATTTCCAAGCTCACTCATATGGTTGTTGGCTATACGTGGTTCCTCATGGGCTATTGGACTAAGGGCCTTGGTTCCTTGCTGGCTATTAGCTGGAGGCTATCCTCAGTTCCCTGCCATATAGGGCCTCTCTCAACATGGGAGCTGGTTTCCACCAGAGTGGGCAAGTGAGAAGAGCCAGAGAGAGAGTGAGAGCAAGATGAAAGTCAGTCTTTTGTAATCTGATCTCTGAAGTGATATGCCATCACTTTTGCTGTATTCTATTTACTAGAAGCAAGTCACTAGGTCCAACCCACACTCAAAAGGAGGGGATTATGCAAGAGCTTGACTACCAGGGGATGGGGATCATTGAAAACCCTTTTAGATGCTGCCTATCACCGCCTTAGCCTGAGTTTTAAATAAGGGACACAATATGGCAGACAGATAATAACTGTGTGGGGATTCTATGTGGCACAGAAATTTAATTTAAAAGGCACTGTTGCATCATAAGAAGAGCATAGACTTTAGATTGAGAGAGGCCTGTCAGCTTTGGTGTTAGAATCTCAGCTTTGGTATTCACCAACTGCATAGTCTTAGGCTTAGTTATTCTGAGCCTCAGTTTTCTCACCCCAAAAATGTGGAAAATACCCACTACCTAAAGAGTTTTAAAAATAAAAAAATCACTTGGGTAAGGCACTTATTAAAATGCATTTTCCCAGGTTCTCCTCAAGAAATTCTTATTCAGGAGACCTACGTGGCACTTAAGAATTTCTATTTTTAATAAATGCACAAATATTTCTAAGTATGTATGAAAAAGGTGTGTGGCTCAGTACATGGTAGCTATTAATAATTTGCATAACTTTAATTCTGCAATTATTCTTGAGAAACAATATGTTTGAAGAGATCCAACTGATATTTAGAAAGCAAACTTACTGAAGATCAGAAGATGTAGAAGTTTGAGCTCTTGTCTGACACTTACTTTGCTGTGGGATCTTGGGCACAAAGCCACCTAATCTTTCTGGACCTCTTTTTTTTTTTTTTCTTTCCACCCTCTGCAAAATGTCTTCTAGCCTGAGTACTCTCTGTCTAGATGAAGAAGAAACAATAGCAGTTAGTATGGGATCACTTTAGGACTCCCCTAGTTGGAGAAGCAAGTGCAATGGCCTCCATAATAAGTCTCTTCTGAAATCTTCATCTCCTAATATTTATTCCTGAAGACTATTCCTTAGAGCCTCCTATTCTTCTACCCTTCTAATTCATATGACCCCAACATCTCTGTATGTAATGAGATATATCTGAAAAACAACCTCATTTAAAAGAATAGATCTATTAAGGAGCTGAGAACTTTCTGGCATGAAATGAAAAATATTGATTGCTTCTCACCTGTTAGCAGTGAAATCCCATCCAGTTAATTAACCTGCTCAGAGATAAAGTTTATTACTGCCCTTCACCTTCAGCTCCAAATCTTTAAAACCACTAAAACAAGTAACTGGTCGATGAGTAAATCTTCTCCCAGATTGGCATTCAGGGCCTTCTGTGATCTGGCTCCAGCCTACCTTTCAGTCTTGACTTCCAGCTGCTTAATTTCAAGCACCTACTGCTCCAGTCAAATGGAAAAACTAAAGTATTCAGAATCCCTCCTCCAAATTCTATATTTTAACTCAGTTCATATCTCTCAGAAAGCCAAGAAAAAGGCTTTCTTGGAGCTCTGGCGTCTCCACTTCTCCCCACCTCTCCCAATTGCTGCCAAGCCATAAACATAGTTACCTCCTTATTTTAAACCATCCCCAAATTTTTATACCTTTGTAGCATTTATTATTTTGGACCTCATATGTACATATTTATAGTACTAGAGCCTTGCGGATGCAATTCCAACCAATCCATTTTTTGTGTTGCCATCTTCCAACACAATGCCTTGCCTATGATTGGTGTTCAGTAAATATTTTTTGACTACTTGAATGGAGACTCATTGATTAACATTTTCTTTACTGTGGCTTTTACTCTTGGGGCTCACAACCATTGTTTCATCAATAGAGTAAGGAGACTCTAACTAAGTGAGGTGCTTTTCAGTATTTACATTATATTCAAAACAGAGCCCTCAAGCCTTCCAGTCTTTCTGAAAACAGCCCTGTTGTTGCTCCCTGTCCTTAGTAGCTTTCTGTTTCTAGAAATCTTTTTCCTTTCCGTGGAAGGGTTGGGAAAAACAGTCTTATGGATATCACCCCTTTCTATAACTCTGAATATAGGTTTCATATGGCTTTTCTACTCCTACCCCAATTTACTTGCACGACACACTTGAAACTGGTATTTTATGAGTATTAGTATGTTACAAGACCCTGAAATTCAATTATAGGTAAAGCAGATATTCAGTCATGTCTGAGAGCACTCACATGAATGTGTTTAGGTTGAAGGGGAGAAATAGAGTAGCTTCAGTGAAACGAAAAGGCCCTTCTTTCATTCAGCATTCATTTTCTTGATCACCCACTAGGCTTTAGGCACTATGTTATATGCTAATGATACAAACATAAATACTGGTCCCTGCCTTCAAGGAGCTCTGTGTCTTGTAGAGGGAGATGAATATATGATGAGATCATTATTATAGATTGTGATTTGCACAATGTCAGAGTCAGGCACAGGGTGATGTGGTGCACAGAGAATTTTCTTTGAGAGCAGATGGATTTTTGTAACAAAGAAATTCTCTTTTGCAGCAGAGTGGGTGTGCTGATATCAGTAATATACATATTATTTTGTAGTTGTTTTTGTAGTATCCTCTTCCAACCACTCACCTTGGGCCAGGTGTCAGCATCCATGGTGGGTGTTGAGGCATGATTCATACAAGCAGCCACCTTGGCTTAATCAAGACCCAGACTTAGGTCCTTGCTCCTTAGAGCTTGTAGGAATAAATCATTCAAGGAGATGGCAGCAAAGGGGTAGTTTTCTTATGATTCATAGGGCAGAACTTCATGTCAGTGATATTTTGGTGCAGAGATTTTGCATGCTTCTCTGTCTATGGCTCCAATATTTCTAAAGGCATTACCACAGCTGTGTAGATGACTCATTGGGATAGCTTGCCCAAGTCTATGACCCTGGAGGTGTGTGTGTATTGAGGGGGAGGGAAGTTATGAAGAAAGGCAAGAAAGCAAACCTAAGTTTTAAATGACCAAAGTCTACAACTCTAAGTACTGAGTTATTTATATAGACCACTTTAAGTTTTCTTTTTCTTGCTCTTCACATTTGGGGAGACCTTACTACTCACTAGAAACTCCTTGACAAGGAGGGGGTAGGGTGACATGAGTCAGAAACAGAAATAAAAAAGGAAATTAAAATCCATTTCAAATTACCTCTTGTCAGCAGCTTAGTGAAAGGCTTGGATGGAGGGAGGCTGGAGATATTGGTTAGGAGGAGGCTGTAATATTGCTCTGGGTTCTTATGATTCACAATTGGAAGAGGTCTATAGCTTGGAGTAATGATGACTTTGATGATGGTGATGGTGGTCATATTCCATTCAACAAATATGTATTGAGCACATACTACATGCCATCACTGACCTAGGCACATATGATTAAAATGGACCAAAACAACAACAACAAACAAATCCTGCCCTTTGGAGCTGAATTTCTAGAAGAAACTAGCAAAAATGGTGCTGGCATCCCCCTCCCTCTTTGAAGCGTTTCTTCTCATGAGTTCTTAGTCATGAGGGACTTAATCTCCACCGAGTCCCAGAGTTAGTGAGAAAATCACAAAACTTTATTTTTTCCAAAGCCTGCAGACTGATATCTGCTTACAATGTTTATGAGCAGGGAAACGGACTCTGGTTGAGATGTAGAAGGCTCTGTGTATGCGTGTTGAGAGGGCTGGTGATAATGGACATTGGGAAGAAATTCTACAACCTTACTATCCACACTTTCCAGCTGGGGGAAAATGTACCCTGAATTGCTCCTTTCCACCCCACTTGCCTTTCTCCCTTTCTTGCTCCCTCCTCCCTTCCTTCCTAAATCCCTCCCTAGCCTCCTTCCTTCCCTTTCCCTTGGTCCCTCCCCATCCCCTTCCCTCGAACAGTTCTCTTCTCCTCTCTCTCTCTCTCTCTCTTTCTCTCTCTCTCCCTAGCCTCTTTTCCTCTTGGCCCCTTTCCCTCCTCCATCCCTCCGCGGCGTCTGCGTCAGGCCCCTACTTGCGTGACGCGCGGGGTCTGGGTGGGAGCTGTCCACTCGCCTGGGGTGCTGAATGCAGCAGCGGCGGCCGCGGCGGCGGCGGCAGCGGCGGAGATAGCTGAGAGCCTTCTCCGCTGCAAGAACCTTGTTTCCATTTCTCGGACGGTCAGCTCACCGCCCCGCCACCTCCCTTCCAGCACCACCCCTTTGGGAACTGAGCCAGGGGGGCAGCAGTCGCGGCGGCGGGTGCTGAGCAACGGCGGAAGACGAGACAACACCTGGCAGCAGCCTGGAATCTGATTTGCTTCCTCTCGCCTTTTATAAGAGATATATTTATATACGGCTTTGAGGAGTCGCGAGGACCAAGCCGGAGCCAACTGCTGGCTGTCTCCCACCTCGGCCACACTGCTTCGTTTCCCCCTCCCCACCTGCAACTGGCACCGCAAACAAGCCTTACCTCGTTGCATCTGCGAGGAGGTAGCAACAGCGAGCCCAACCAGCCGGAGGCAGCGGAGAGGAGGGAGGGGCGTGGGGGGGGGGGGCAGAGAGCCGGCCGAGGCCGCCCTTGGTGGGGGTAGCGGGGGCAGAGCTGCCGTGAAGACCCAGCAGCCGCCCTCCTCCACCCCCACCCCTCCAGAAGCACTCTTTCCTGATTATTTGAGAACCGAATTATTATTCTTCCACTAGTTTTATTTCATTTTTTATTGCCCCCCCTCCTCACTCCCCAGCCGCCCCCACCCCTACGCCTGCCTCGCCGCTGGTTGCATGGCAGCGCTGCCCGGGAGCGGGGGCTCAGAGCCGGCCCCCAGGGAAGGAGGAGGAGGAGGAGGAGGATCATGAAGCCGGTAGTCGCGGCCGCGCCGGACGGCGAGCAGCAGCCAGAGGACGAGCCGGAGCAGCCCCCGCCCCGGAGACACCGGGACGCCGACCAGCATTCACTGCTGCCGCCACAGCAGCATCGGCGGCCGCGGGCAGACTCGGAGCAAGAGGAGGAGGGCGACAACGGCCCAGAAGAGGAAGAGGAAGAGAAGGCGAGGCCACTCACCCGCCCGGATCTGCCCTTCTCCCGGCCTTTGCCCCTCGCCCAAAGGGACCTTTGATGGAGCCAAAGAGAAGGGGCCCTGGATTTACAGACTGCCGCAGGGGTGGGCTGGGGGCTGAGATCATGTAACTACTCCTTCCTCCTGTCTCTTCCCACACGCCCCTTTTCTCTACCCCTTCTCTCTGCTCCACTGCCTCCTGTCCCCTATACACACACCTTTCCTCTAGCCAGGATCTTAATGCTCAGGAAGGAAGCGGCTCTGCAAGGGTTAAAGGATCTTTTCTTTTTTCCCCCTTTCTTTGCCCTTCCTCAGTCCATTATTCTCCCACTTCTGTTCTCCTTAATTGGCTTTACCCTCTTCCGTGCAGCCTTTTGGCTGCAGAGGCAAAGCACAAGCCCCTTGCCCAATTTCACCTGCAATCCCTACTCACGCCCCACCCCCCAACCGCTCTCTTAAAAACAACTCTGGTGCTTCTGGGGATTAATTGCCCCAGTTTTCCGCCCAGGAGAATTAAAACTTCTCCCAACATCCTCTCCTCCCCACCGTACCCCCCACCCCCCACAACCAATCTCCAGCTTCCTGAGGAAAACTATCTTTTCTCTCTGCACATACAGTACTCAATTTTTCACTGAGCTGTTTTGCCCTAAGTGCAGCTCAGTCCACTCCAAATTTGATTTATAATCGTCCCCACCCTTTTATACAAAAGAAAAGAGATTTCCCACTGCCTAGGAATTTGAGAAGAACTGAAAATATCTTCTCTTGGGAAACTTTCTGACAACTAGACCTTGATCTCAAGGCCCAAAGAGCCCTTCCTCAACATTTTTTTTTAATCCCCCTTCCCCTGCCATACCCCCAAGTCAAAGGCAAAAAAGGAGACACTCTGAGCAAAGCTAAGGTTGGTGTGGGGGGGGGGCAAGAAAACCCTTTTTGTTGTTGTCAGGCTTTCCAGGGAGAGTTCAGAACCAGTGACTCACAGTTCTCTGTCCTGGGGGCAATTGATTTGCTACTTTGAGGGGGTGTAAGAGGAGGCAGCAAGAAAGCAGATTCCCCCCATAACACAGCTCTGCTGGGGACCCCCCCAAAACTATTCTCCTATCTTCCTTTGAAAAGACTCCAGCTGCCCCTCCTGGGCTCCCTGCTTCCCCTGGGCACATGCTGATGCCCTTGAGCGGGCTGCTCGGGTGGTGGTGGTGCTTCTGTTGTTGCTGTGCCTGGTACCGCTGTGGATCGTGTGCCCCGGCTCCCCAGATGTTGCGCCACCAGGGTCTCCTCAAGTGCCGCTGCCGCATGCTCTTCAATGACCTGAAGGTTTTCCTACTGCGGCGCCCCCCTCCAGCGCCCCTGCCCATGCACGGCGACCCCCAGCCCCCCAGTTTGGCGGCCAACAACAACACCCTTCCGGCTCTGGGTGCCGGGGGGTGCGCAGGCTGGAGGGGCCCTCGAGAAGGGGTGGGCAGGGAGACCACTCCTCTGCCACCTCCACCACCTTTGCCACCTTCTTCTGTGGAAGATGACTGGGGTGGCCCAGCCACCGAGCCACCCACCTCGCTGCTCAGCAGTGCCTCCTCAGATGACTTCTGTAAGGGGAAGGCTGAGGATTGCTACTCACTGGGCAGCAGCCTGGACAGTGGCATGAGGACCCCGCTCTGCCGCATCTGCTTCCAGGGGCCGGAACAGGTGAGACCCTTTTTCCCTTTTCCTGCTGCCTTATGGTGTCTCTAGGTCTTGCACATTACTACTCCCCTGCTTGCCCTGGGGAACCATAGTGCTGTCTCTAGTGTGAGGAATATACGTTTTAAGGGCTCCTCAATGATGTTTCTTGTGGTTAAGTTTGCCCAAAAGGTGTCTGGTAGAGCCTGTTTGGTGACTCAGTTGTACCCCAGTTTTTGAATTTTCCTTCCAATGCTAGTGTCTTCAATTCCATCCAAAAATTCCATAAGCATCCACAGAAGAGAAGATTCAGAAGTCAGAAGTGATAAAATGAAGGAACTTGGTGGTACATTCATGCTTGAAGCCAAGATACCTTTTTATCTGATTTGTTGTTACTGACATTTCCCCCAGCCCATCTTCAGTCCCAGATTCAAACATCTTCCCTCTTCGGAGGGAAATGTGCAGAGATTGTCTCCTCTTTCCCTATTCTCATAGACTGAAACACAACAAGCCTGACCCTATTCTCTTACTTTGAACTACCCCCTACCATATTACACTGACATCCTCAGCAGTATGTTTTAGTCAGCAAGGAAGAAATGGGGAGAGATTCTAGGTCCAAGAAGACTCTACAGTTTGCTAAGACACTTCTTGGAAGACTTATGTTTTTTTTCCCTAGGTTGAAAGCAAATAGGTAAGTGGGTTGAGAGTGAGTTTAAGAGATATGGAGAAGGAAGTAAGGAATCTTGTCATATCTACTCCCCTTCTCAGGCCTGAAGCACATCAACTTAGAATATCCCTTAAACCGTCCCCATCCAGGACAGGGGTTGCCAAGTACAATCATGGACCAGTCTTCCTAAGTTTGAAGGTCCTCCCTTCCCTGTTCATTCAGATTTTCACAGATAGACTCACCCCAGCCCTTTCAGCTCCACTTCCAATCTAGTGTCTGCTAGAGGCTGGAGATAGTATATGGACATTCCCCAAGAGTCATGAACTATGGCAACACTTCCCACAGAATCCCAGATAGAAAAGTCTCATCTGAAAAATCTGATCTAGTTAGTGATGCTGGAGAAGGAACATTAAATTGCACCTTGGTTAGGGTTCTGTGGTCGCATCAGCTACTTTTTCAGTAGCTTCCCAGAAGCGGAAGGAAGATTTCTGGGTGCTTCCTGAACAAGTGGGAGAGCAGTAGATGCCATGCCGGTGATCCTGAGGGGGCTCTGGCTCTTGCTGAAGGCTTGCTTTGTGAGAGACAGGCTTAGCTGATATTTTCATTCATTTTATCTTTGCTCTGAATGGGCAACATGCTTCAGGGACAGATGATAACCGGGGCCACAGCCTGGGCATTATGAGAGGAGGTGACATAGATCTCAGTGTGCATAAATGTTTCTGAGGGGCTAAGGGCTGGGTTCCTCCTTCTTATGACTAGGCTTACTGAAGTCCCAAATGAAGTCCTGCCCAGAGTTGAGGACTCTTGTTAGGTGAGGCAGTCCAGGGCACCTGCTCAGTGCCTTTTTCCAGACCTTGTCTCCACTTCCATTCATGGGCACAAGGTGGGATGGCTTGGCTGAGAGCAAGAGTGAGGCCTCATTTTGGGATGCTCCTGGTCAGCCTTTTGCCCTAATCAGGAGCCTCATCTTTTCCAAAAGAAAGAATTACTTAGCTTCCAAATTTCTTAAGCTTTTTTTTTTTCCCATATGGGTTGGCTTAGGTCTGCATGTCACAGGGGCTGCTGGGAGTGTGGCTTCTGGCAGAAACACCCTTGTCTCTAGAAAACAGCAGGACTTGGAGCCTGTTCTGGATGGTATTTCACTGTGTGAACTTCTTCAAATCACTTTATGCCTCTGGGTCCCTTTTCCAACTTCTGTGGTTTAGAGGCACCTTTTTCTGTCCTCCTTTTTTTCCTTATAAGTGTGTTGGGAGGATTCAGTAGATAATGAGCCTGAAAACATCTTGAAAGGGATTAAAATATAATGGCAGGTATTTTGATCATGAAAAAGCAGTACTTTGTTGAAAAGAAGAAGAAAAGGATCAGTAGGAATATTGTGAAATACCCGCACGTGATATGGGGTCTGGGCGGAGGTTAGGAGCTTTTATTTCTTGTTCATTATTTTTATGGTGTGTCATAAATAAAGCACTGAATAAAAAAGCTAACACCAATAAAGGAATGGGCTCTATTATTATGTGGAAGGAATAGGGGCATCGTGTTGGCATTAAGACTGGATTAAGTCAAGCACTTCCTGCATATGATGATTCTATTTGGGGGTTTGTATTATTCGTGCAGGAGCCAGGAGATTTTAATGAGATTGTGCTACAGTAGTGATAAGAGAAGCATGTGTTGGCTATGAACATATTTTTCCCTCTTTTTACTCAATTTTCTTCACAGGATTTCAGTGAGGAAGGGCGACAAAGGGGAGATGGGGAAACCCTCTAGAGTAGGAAGAGACAGAGAGACAGAAAGACAGAAAGTGAAGAGCTGAGATATCAGTATCCTATTTTCTGTTCAGGGAGCCAGCTGTCCAGCAATCCTGCACATGTGGCTCTGAAGGGAGAACAGTCTGCAATCTCAGCAGCTGAATGTCTTGGTCTTTTCTTTGCCCAAACAAAGGAATCAAACAGCTCCCTAGTCATTTGCCTGCTGCTCCAGGGGCTAAAAGACTGCCCCAAATGAAGATCTGATCTCTTCCTGACAAGGGCTTCTATGCGGTAAGGGGCCACTGGAGGGTCCAACTAGTTCCAGGTTTGCACGTCTGTAATGGTCTTTACATTCATTCATTCATGCATGCGTTTACTTTAAAAATGTTTTCTGGGCACCTACAGTGTGTCAGATGCTGTTCCAGGCACTGAGTATCCAGGAGTGAACAAAACGGGTGAGACCTCTGCTGTCCTGAAGCTGACATTTCTAGTAGAGATGCAGAAACAGACCAGTCAATTAGTAGATAAAGTGATTTCAGATGGTATTGAGGACCATGATGAAAGTCAAACAGGATAATGAGTTAGACAAGAATGAAAGGGAGGTTTTGGGAAAGATGCAACTACATTAGAAAAAGTGATCAGGGACAGCCTTCCCAAGAATGTGCCATCTGAGCTGTCCCCTACGTGATGAGAAGGACCCCCTGATACATTGGCCTGGGGGAAAAGCATTCCAGGTGGAGGAAATAGCAGGTTCAAAGACCTAAGTGTGAACAAGCTTAGCATGTTTGAGAAACAGAAGAGAGGACAGGAGAAGGCAGATGGATGGTGTGTGAATAAATGCTTGGAGAGCCAACTTGGCTCCATGCTGGAAAGCTGACTGCGTAGCCACTCCCCTCCTCTCAGCCATTCATCCAGGTTGGACAGGGGTCAAGGATCCATGGAAGTGTGGGACAAGAGCCCAGTTGGCAGCTCTTGACCCTCTATTTCTGGCTGAAGCTGCACTGGTTCACTTCGATGGACCATAGTGGGTAAGCTGAGGTCTCTGAAACCAGATGGCCCCAGTTCGAGGCCTGGACAAGTAGCATGCCCGTCCGTGCTTCGGGTTCTTCCTTTGTAAGACAGGGATAATAATGATAGACCCCAACTGATGGTCATTCTGAGCAACAGATCAGTCAACACAGTTAGAGCCATGCTGCCACAGTGTTTTGCTGTTATTATCTCAGAGGGCAAGATAGTGCTCCCTCTGCCTCATTTAAAAGGAATAGTGGGCCCCAGCTCCCAGTCTAGTCCCTGGCAGGACTGCTGTGATTGTGGTCTGGTGGTGGTAGTAGATTGCTTCTTGGGCACTCACAATCCTCTAGGCGCAGAGTGCGGCTCCTCTGTTTCCATCATCAAAGGTCTTTATTAAGTAAGTGCCTCCCTAGGCCTGCTGCTCTGCCGATCAGAGTCTGGAGACACAGGGCTGATGTGGCCCTGCCCTCTGGGAGTTTCACAGTCTAACCCAGACATCAGAGACTGATAGAGATCAAGAACTCACAAACAGTGGGTCGCAGGTGAATTATAGTAATATTGGATACAAGAAAGAGATGTGTGCTTAAAAGCAGCTAGTGTGTGGGGTGCCTTTTCAGAGAGACAAGTGGGGGGAATGTGCTACCTTTTCCCCAATTAGTCAGAGAAGGCTTCTCTGTTGCTGCTGAAGACCAAGTGAGAAGCAATGGATGTAGGCTGAGTTTAGACAGCTGGAAGCAGAAGAGCTGTGAGACACATGGACACCTCGACAAAGAGGTGAAACCATCTCCTAGGCAGGGTCAGCTGTGGAGCACCTAGAGATGGGTTCAAGAATGAAATCCACCATAGCAGTGGTGGTGGGGCACCTGTTTTGGACCAAATGGAAAAGAGGAAATGAATTTGGAAGAGATGAACAGGCTTGGTTTACCTCCCTTATTCTTCCTGGTGTTTGCTTCCATGGAGCTCCACGTTCAGAAGGGGCAAGAGTAGTGTGAAATATTTTAGTCAGTGTTTTGGGTCCTGGGAGAGTAAGAGAAGAGCTTTGCAGTGCTCGGGAAAACCTGGAGATCCCAAGATGCAATCAGAACCCTGGGAATGGAGATCAAGTAGAGCATTTTAGGAGAGACCCATACAGTGTATTATTTTTCTTAGCACTATGGTTCAATTTTACATTTGTGTGTGTGTGTGTGTGTGTGTGTGTATGATCATTTAATTAATATCAGTCTCCATGAAGAATGGACCCATCTCTAACATTTATGGACTCTAGAACAAAAGTATAGATAGAGGCTCACATACCATAAGCCAAAATACCTAAAAGTAATAAATCCAGATAACTGTTAAATAAAATGAATTTTATCCTCCTATCCTGGCAAATAAAATGTCAAAACAACCTGGAAGACAGGTTTGAATTTAGAATTATTGGATTCCTTAGAATTCTGTGCTAGCCATATGGGGGTATCCAGCCCTTAGTCTACAAGCCACTTTGATTTTCTTTCCACTGCTGGCTACATCTGACAGCAGGATGAGCCTTTGTCACACACACACGTGGACGTTCCAGCTGGCTTGCTCAAGCTCTGTCCATACAACCCCTAAACAGCTGTCCCTTG